AAAAAAAAGAACCATCCTTTGCTTTAAAAAATAAAGAAAAAAGCTCATCTCAAAATGGTGACCTTGACATACATATTAACCATGTCTTCAGGCCAAGCCCAGTGTCTTGTCTTTGGAATGTTTGAGGAATTTCCACAAGAGAGTGCAAAGTAATCAAGGGAAGGACTAAATAAATGTGTGGTTCATACATACGAGAGAAGAGACCGTCTAGGCAACAAGACCCCTGTGGCTTGGAGCACCGGAGACTGAAGGCAAAGGCAGGCCAGCGGTCATTGGATGAGGGACAAAGCTCAGGCCTTGAGCACCTTCCAGAGGACTATGGTAGAGAGGCTATCGAAGCTAGGATCTTGTCATGGCCCACACGTAGCTTCACCCAGAATATTTAATATTTTGTCCAGTGTTTCTAGTTGTCCTCAGTGGGAGGGTTGATCTGAATTGATCAAAGTAGAAGTCCCCTGCTCCTTCCAAACCCTAGAGCTGGTGGAGTGCAACCTAGGGAGACAGATTCCTCCTCCTCTGCTACTTCTGCCTAGAGTTTAGAGGTGAAGTTCTGACCAAAAGAGCTCCTTGGTGAAGCGAAAACAAATAGTGGTCAACAGTTGTTCTGGAGGCCTGGGATTCTCTGCCCTGGGGCTGAGGTCTGCAGGTGAACTTGGACTCACAGCCAGAGTGACTAGCTGCTTGAGAAGTATATCCGATATAAGACAGACCACAAGCTGGACAGCTGAAGCCATTCTTCACTGGAAAGAGTGAGATAAGGGTGTAAGATGAATGTAACAATCATTCTGAAAAGATACAAGTGACAATATTGGCAATGTGAAGCAGAAGTAAGACCAAAGAGAAAGCAATATGAGGTATAAAAACATAGTTGAAATAAAGAACACAAGTGAATGAGATACACTGCAGAAGTGAGACAGCTGTAGAAGGAATTGGTGATCTGAAAAATCAGCTTGAGATATGCTCCCAGAAGGCAGCCCTGGGTAAAAAGATAAACTTAGAAAACCTGAGTTTAGAGGATGGAAATAGAAGTAGCAATATCCAAAAAACAGAAGT